AATTTTCACACACACACAAACACAAAAACAAATTTTGCATTGTGTGTGTGAGAAAATATAGGCGGTGTGCTCTAAGTATAAAGATTACTGATTATTACTACTATTAATTGAAACAGACTGAATGTTAATAATGATGACACAGATATAATAGGAAATAACAATGTCTTTCTTGCCATATCTGTATTAATTGATATGAATTCATTCCCTGATTATGATTGATGAGAATTACAATTGACGAATTATTATGAATTACAAACACATAATTCTGTCAAGTGTCAACAATATTGGTCAATGATTTTGGTTATCATTCAACTAATACTTGGCCAATAGAATTAATCAATTAATACGAATAATTTTAACTATTTAATCATACTAATATTTTAAATATACTTCTTTGGTCTTATTTATAAGACAAAGAGAAAATATTTTTTTGTCCTATTTATTAGACATTTCATTAAATTTTTAGCATAAATGCTCTATTTTGTCCTAAATATAAAAACTAGTTGAAGATTTAATTTAGTCCTAAATATAAAATTCTAACCACTTTATCTTTCATATTTATTTATTTATTTCAATATAGTTTTCATAGTTATTATACATCTTAAAAGATTTTCATTTTAACATATATGATTAATAGGAATATTTTAGAAAAAATAATACTTATTTATTATAAATAACTAATTTAAGTAGCTAGGAGATTGTTATTTGTCATGAGTGCAATTTGTGTAATTTATAGTAGTAAGTTAAGGTATATAATGAATATAATTACTTTTATTAAGTAGTTCGCTAAGGTAAAATGTGAAAAAAAAATAAAAAAGAATATGCAATTGTGATTATTTTTTGAATAAAGAAATTTTTTTTACGGTTCTGATACTAAGGTATTAGAGTCACTCTTTAACGATGAAGTTAGAGATGAGCTTACTTGAAAGTATTTATGTAAAGATTTTAATTTCTAGTTTTAAAACCTCTAATTTCTATCATATAATATTTTTGACATTGTGATCGCTAATAATTTGAATCTCTTAGGATATTGCTAATGTAAGTCACCCCATAGAGTTGAGTATGGTACTTAACTACTTTGTAACTAACTTTATTTTAATATTTGTTGAAGTTATCACCTTTTTTTCTATTTTCAAAATAAGAAACCCCACACATAATCCTTTAAAAATTAATTTTCACACACATACAAACACAAAAACAAATTTTGCATATATTTTGAACAAAACTGGAATAAATTTGCGTAATCTACCATTTATTTCAAGAAAAGCCTATAAATTTTGAGAAACAGAATCTGTATATTTCTAACAAAATTTTCAAACAAATTAAATTGAATAGTATTAGAGTACGTATCTCCCTGTGATCATGAGACCAAATCTCAGGAAGGTCATCAATGGAATTAGGGCTATAGACGATCAAACAACAGTCGACTCCACAGAATGTGGAAAGCTCGTATGTTTTCTTCATAATTCCATTCTTTCTCTTCTGAAACGTCACTTTTTCTGATTTCTCCTTCTCTATCAATTTCATATACAATCTTCTCCGCCTCATTTTTTTTCTTTGCTAATTTTCTCAAGAACAATGAATGTGCAAGAAAATTTAGCAATTTGAGAAAATATAGGCGGTGTCATAAGTACAAAGATTATTGATTATTACTGCTATTAATTGAAACAGTTTGAACGTTAATAATGATGACACAGATATAAAAAAAAAAAAACAATGCAATGTCTTTCCTCATCACATCTGTATTAATTGACATGAATTCATTCCTTGATTGCGATTAATGAGAATTACAATTAATGAATTATTATGAATTACAAAGTACAAACACATAATTCTGTCAAGTGTCAACAATATTGGTCAATGACTTTGGTTATCATTTAATTAATACCTGGCCAATAAAATTAATCAATTAATGCAAATAATTATAACTATTTAATTATACTAATATTTTAAATATACTCCCTTGTTTTTATTTATAAGGCAGAGAAAAAATATTTTTTATCCTATTTATTAGACACTTCATTAAATTTTTAGTATAAATACACTATTTTGTCATTCATTTATTATAGTGTAGATAATTATGTTTTCAAAATGTGTATATAATAAATAGTAATAAATTTGAAAATTTATTATATTTTAATGAATAGTTAATATATTTTAAAATTTATATAAAACTTGCTAAAAGTACCTTATAAATAAAAGCAGACGAACTAGGCTAATGTGTGCCTTGATTAACTAACATTATGACATATGTGCTTCATTTGTATATGATTTGATAATGGTAATGAGAAAGAGGAGCCCTTAAAGTATACGGGCGCAATCTTTTTTTTTTCCTTGACATTTCAAGCTAAAAAAAAAAAACAAAGCATTTTCTCATGTTAATATTACTGCCGGAACTCTGCTTTCCTTGGTTAATTCACCAATCCTCTCATTGAGTGAAATTGTTTTTGGCAGTTATATGATGTACAAGTATAAAAAATACTGTCTAAGTATTAAAAAAGTTGAGATGATCGCAACTATTCCTATAATTTTTATTCATTATGTTAATACTTCTTTATTATAAATTTTAAATAACTAAACTACACAAATCATAAAAATTATTTAAATTAATCGAAGACACTAAGCGTGTAAATAATACAACTTATTTGTTAAACACACTCTTACTTGTGAAGAAGATAAGTGGAGACAATGAGAAAAAAAGATATGAAAGGGAACGAGTAAAAAAAATAAAATAAGAAAGACATATAATTATTAGGAATAAAAAAAAAGCATACATTAAATATTAAATGTTAATAACTAAGTTCATTCAAAAAATTGAAGTTTATGAAAAAAATCGGAGTATTAATTAATGAGTGATATTGTGCCTGAAATGGCGGATAGTTGAGGCCCTCGGGTGTATGTCTGCATCCACACACATTTATATTTGTAAAAATTAAAATAATATTATGATATCTATTTTTTTACTGCTATCTCCAGTCCTAAATATAAAAAATAGTTGAAGATTCAATTTGGTCCTAAATATAAAACTCTAACCCACTTTATCTTCTATATTTATTTGTTTTTCTCAATATAGTTTTTATAGTTATTATACATCTTAAAAGATTTCTAATATACTAATTAACAAGAATATTTTAAAAAAATAACACTTATTTATTATAAATAACTAATTTAACTAATTTTTTTAATATTTGTAAATTAATTATCTAGGTTTTATATTAAACACAAGAGAAAGTATTGTCTAATTTGATACTTCTCTAGTCTTATTTATAATGTAAAAAAAGAAGACATTTTTCAATCCTACTTATAAGGCAGTGAGAAAAATTTTTTATGTGAATATACAATTTTACCCTTTTATTTATTATTGTGTGAACTTTGTTTGCATAAGGTATATCGTGTTAAATAGAGATAAAATTGAAAAGGTGTTGAATTTAAATGAAAATTAATGAAGTTTAAAGTTTTTCTAGGTCTATATAAAATACTCCCTCCGATTCAAAATATAAGTTAAATTTTATCAATTTACGTTTATCAAGAAACTAATTAAAATCAATTTAAAACAATAAATGTAAGGCATATATTTGTTTTTCCTAATATACCTTTATTAATGAAGAGAATAAGTAAAAGATATAATAAATGAATTAAAGAGAAAAGAGAATATATAGGGGTAAAATTGAAAAAAAATCATTAAATGCTTGGACAAAAGTGAATATTATCTTATAAAAAAATCAACCCCTTTAAGAAAGTTTAGTTTTTATTTTCAACCGAAGGTAGTATATTAGAAGTGACTTATAAATAAGACCACAAGAGTATTTTTAAACTACCAATTATATATTAAATTATTTTTGGAAATACTGACTTTAAATTGGTTTTTTATATATTTGTTCAACTGAGTCAGCATTCTTAACCGCCCACATGAGAATTCACCTACTTAAGCACATGTAAAACAGAGAAGCCAAGTCAAACGCCTTCTTATTCTTGGCGCTTGACAAATTTATGTATTCATATGTATGAGGCTCATTTGAAACAAAAATGAAGTTGCTTACACTATTACATTCTTGATTTCTTTTGATTAAAGTATAACTTGGCAATGGCTTTAACGTTGCTTTGTACTCCAAGACTCGAGCCAAAAAAACAAAAACAAAACAAAACAAAACAAAAAAGTGAAAATGAAAGTTGGTGTTTATTTATGTCAACATCGGTGCGTTTTTTTGGGGCCAGTGTCAGCATCCGTATGCTTAATCGAAGGGAACTTGGATCCTCTGTTGCATGGTTCTTGGACTGCAGAGCAAAATATCCAAAATTTGCTACCAGATTATCCAGAAGGCAGAAGTTCAACAAATATGGCTTGTTCGTGAATCTTATGCTGAAAAGCAGGTTTTCTATTTTTTGTTAAAAAAAAAAAAAAACTTCTAAACTTCCGCATGAAAAATTGTAACTTCCATTAAATAAGTACATATGGCAAGGGTTTACCTCTCCGATCACATATTAGATTATCCCAGAAACATGCCTCCTCTATAACTAGCCACTTGACGCTTGTTCAAGACTCAAGAGCCTCTTCTGACCCAGGAGCAACTTTTAACCCTGTTCTCATCTAAAGATGATAAACATTTTTTGATAAAAGCCACGAAAGAAATCATTAATGATACCTCAAGCTCAAAGGTAATTATTAACAGATAATCTTATCCTAATGATTAGAGATTATTTTTTAATCCTATATGTCTGCTTCCACAAAATACTGAGATCACGATAGAGCCAGAGTGAATTCTGGCATCAACGAAGCAACAAACATATATCCCAAGAAATCGATAACTCTCTGCAAACTAAAGGAGCATCGACGCAATGTGTCATCAAAATGACCGGACAGTTTCCACCATCACAATTAACAAAATACTAACGGCAACAGTAAGATGGTGCTTCTCAATCTATAAAAGAATAACCTGTTGTATATTTGATAAGGCCTTTTGAAGCTTTACTCAGTATTGGATAGAACTCTTTAGATTTGTGTATGAAGCTGAGAATACTGCAAACTGACAGTGTAATTTACAAAAGTCATGCCAATTTACATATTTCTGACCTCAATCAAACTATGAGCAGGTTCTTTTCTTAATCCTTCATGATTTACTACATGCCTAACCTTCTCTGCGTCACTCCATCTTCCTACAGCAGCATAAAGTTTTGCCAACAATACGTAATTTCCAGTATTTTCAGGCTCAAGCTCAAAAAGCCGCCTTGCAGCAATCTCTCCCAGCTCAACATTCTCATGTATCACACAAGCACCAAGAAGTGCACCCCATACAGCATGGTTAGGTGTTTCAGGCATTGTTTCAACAAGATCATAAGCATCATTGAGTCGACCTGCACGACCGAGAAGATCAATGATGCAAGTATAATGGTCAGTACAAGGAATAATATGGTGTTGTTTGAGCATCAACTTGAAAATGCTCAAACCCTCATCAACAATCCCCGCATGGCTGCAAGCGTGCAAAACACAGGTGAAAGTAATTTGATTTGGTTTTACGCCAGATTGCAACATCTGATAGAATAGTGATACGGCCATTTCTCCATGCCCATGCTTTCCATAAGCAGCAATTATTGCACTCCAAATAACAATATCCTTATCCATTAGAGGGACTATATCAAAAATCTGGTGTGCATATTCCAAAGATCCACACTTTGAGTATATATCAACTAGAATACTTGATACCTCTAGTCTGTAAAGAAATCCAGATCGTATAAGGTAACCATGTATGTTCATTGCCTGATGGAGGTCAGAGAGTATAGCATATGCGGGAAGAAGACTGCCCAAGGTTGCATCATTAGGTGGTATTTCTTCCAGTAACATCTGCTTGAAGAGTTGTACCGCTTCTCTTGCAAGCCTATTGTGTATGAACCCGGATAGAAGCGCATTCCACGGGACGGTTCTCTTTTTTGAGGTTTTCATAAACACATTATAACTGAGTTTAACATGATTGCATTTTGCATACATATCAATTAAGGCAGTTTCCACAATAACCTCAGTCTCAAGTTTATGCCTTATTGCCCAAGCATGCAAGCACTTACCATGGTTCAAGGAAACTGAACTGGCACAAGCTGATAGAAGAGAAGCTATACTCACTAAATTGGGTTTCACTCCTTCACATTGCATCAGGTGACCGAGCATTAGAGCACTTCTCGGATCACCATTCAGAACATAACCATTTATCAAGGTCGTCCAAGTCACCACATCCTTCTCATTAATCTTATTCACTAACGACCATGCTTCTTCCATTCGACCACACTTAACATACATGTCCAACATAGCATTCCTCACAGCTATATTCCCCCAAAACCCCCTCTCCTGTACAAGTGCATGAATCTCTTTTCCCAGCTCTACATTCTTCAAATGACCACAAACAGGTAATACAGAAACCACTGTTGCACAATCAGGCTCCACACCTCCATCCTTCATCTTTTTATAAACCATCAAGGCTTCCTCCACACAGGAATTTCGGAAATATCCATTAATCATGATATTCCAAGACACCACAGTCCGTTCCTGCATCAAGTCAAAAACAAGTTGTGCTGCTTCTTTCTCCCCACAATTCATATACATTGCCATCAGATTGTTCTGGACAAAATGGTCCAAATCAAAGCCAGTTTTCAAAGTCCGCCCATGTATTCCAATACCCACGTCAATCAATGACAAGTCACCACACGCCTTGATGGCAAATGGATATGTAAACTTGTCAGGCTGACTCTGACCAGAAGCAAGCATATCAACAAACAGTTTCAGTGCATCATAGGGCGACCCTTTTGACTATACGTCTTGATCATTATATTCCATGAGAACAAGTTTGGTTCAGGAAATTTAGTGAACAGCTCATGTGCATATGAGGCATGATTGCACTGCGCATAAGTTGTGGCAAGAATTGACCAAAGCTTGGAGGAAGAACAGGAAAAGAGACCAAATGTCATGATGATGCGGGCGTGTAGTTTTTTCGTTTTAGAAAGCAATTGAGCCCTGGCATACTTCCTTAAGGATCTCCTAAAAATCTCATGCCAATTTCTCCTACAGCATAATTATCATCACCACAAGGATTCAGATAAAAACTACATTACAAAATTCTGCTTGAAAATAGAAGTAATAAAGCAATATTTACCTCTGATTCATCAACCCAATTGAGAAGCCTAGGTCCCAACTACCTGCCTAAACAGCCTGGAATACAAGAAAATGGATGCAGTCAGGGATCTAAAAACTAAAAAATACTCAAGGTATGAAAGAAACAATGATGTTTCAGGATCTAACCTTAACATACAGAAAGCAACCGGCAACTATCTTGTGCTAAAATCAGATAAAGCAAAAATTTTATTAAGTGACTCACAGCAGTAGGAACCATCTGTGTTTAAAACTTTTAAATGGGGACATTAAAAAACAACATTCATTGCCCCAACAATTTTAACTAACGAAAACATAAGATAGTTTCAAGTCAAAAGTACACGGTCCTCTCTAGCGTTGGCCCCCGGGGGGGGGGGGGGAAGAACTCTACACTAGCGGTATGCTGGGAATGTAGGAATGAATAATAAAGGAATGGGAATGAGGATGAGAATGACAATGGAGATGACCTCGTTTGGTATGTTTCATATTCGTTGGGAAGACAGCAACGAAGTTCGCTGCGGAGGCCCAAGAGCTGGGAGAGGCAGACGAACGGTGCGTTTAGTGATGATGAGATGAACGGCCACGATTCTTCCTCACTAAAACGGTGCGTTGTGATTAGGGGTCTGATGAGTTTGGAATTGGAAACCGCTCCTCCTCCTTCGATATCTCCCTCCCAAGCCCAAGTTACGTTACGTTGTTCACCTCGCTGTCCCTCGGGTGGCCGCCGTAGCAGGTCTAGTGAGGTACGCCGTCAATTACTCCCTCCAATTGGAAGTTGAAGGTGCTTTGGCCTATTCTTGAATCTTAAATCTCAGATTGGTCTTTCTTTTAGACTTGTCCATATTATTCTGTCCGATTGTTTTGTTTTATTTTAGTTTTCAATTTTCTGTAGACATATACGACATGTGTATAGCATTGGGAATTCTCTGTTGCCACCTCTCTCTTAGCTTCGCGTTCTACTGTTCATTCTCTTTCTACATTCTCTGTTCTCTCTGTGTTTTTTTTCCCTTTTGCTTTTGAAATGGTAGGGAATGGATTTGGCATTCCTGCTTTGAGTTGTATTGTTCTCTGAACTATGATCGGTCTCTACCATGGATGTCTGTAAAAATGTGGGGCTTAATGTACTTTTCTGTCGTTAGAAGAATTTGATATGGTTTACTTGACTCTTCTATGCTGAAGTAGACTGGTTTGTGGCACCATGTTCTGGTTCTGGCTTCAAACACCCTATTCTTGTTTGCAATTGTGTCTTGTTACAGTTGGATTGGACTTTGCTTATATTTTAAATTTTGAACGGGTAATTTAATCATTTCGGTCTGCCTGTGGATTCTGAGGGTGGCATGGAAGAAGGATGGGAAGTGTTTTCCCAACCATGGTGATCCCGGACATGGATGGGGCAGGGTGGAACTGGTGGCCGTAGGCCTACCATCCATAGTTGAAGCACAGTTAGATTCATGGCTTTTGCTTTACCTAAACTTGATTACCAGTAGAGAGTTGTCATTTAACTTTTGTTACCTGACTTTGATTGCCTCACGAAGTACTAGCACTGGCACATTGTACGTAACTTGGTGGATGAGATATTGTCTGTGTGTGTTTTATCCCTCTTTGGTTGCATAAGATGAGACCTGATGTTTGGCTAAAGTAACATGTAACAGTTTGAAATTAGGATGATGCTCCTGCTCTGGTTGAACCTGCGTTTCATATGTAATGAAGTGTTTTGTACTTAGCATATTTGAACAACGGATTGAATATGAAGACAGTGAGCTTGGATTTTTCATTCATCACTTATTAGACTTTGACCATAGTTTACACATGGTCAGGTTTCCTAGCTTAAAAGCAAAGGTGCAACTAAAGTCTCGTGATATTCAATCCAAGTATTTGTTCTTGACGTGTTCATCATCTCTTTTGCTGGTCTGTGAACTAATATCCTTGAATGAATGTAAATAACATCGAAAGTGATTCATCCTGTTGTGCTAAGAAGCTTATGCCACATTCATAGGCTTTATCAGTATTAGTACAATGATTCTATTCTGAAGGTTCTGTATTTTACAACCCTGCAGTTTCAATATATAGAGAAATGCCTGGGACTGAAGTAAATTCAACTCTCAGTAAATCAAGTGGACTACCTCGAAAGCGATTCTATCGAGCACGAGCACACAGCAATCCACTGAGTGACTCCCACTTCCCTGTGCCTATATCTCCTAGTCACGTTGACTATTCACTCCATTACCCTGAGTTTTTTCCTCCATCTGATCAAGCTAATAACTCCAAAAAGATCCAGTTTGCTGATATTGGCTGTGGCTTTGGTGGACTGCTCATCAGTCTATCAACCCTTTTCCCAGAAACCCTGATGATTGGAATGGAACTTAGAGACAAGGTGACAGAATATGTCAAGGAACGCATTTTAGCTCTAAGAGCAGCAAATCCAGGTCAATACCAGAATGTCTCAGTGGTGCGTACAAATTCCATGAAGTACATCCCCAATTACTTTGAGAAAGCACAGCTCACAAAGATGTTTTTCTTGTTTCCGGATCCTCACTTCAAAGAGAAGAATCACCGCCGACGTGTAATTAGCCCACACTTGTTAGACGAGTATGCTTATGCTCTCGAGGTTGGTGGGGTCATATACACAATAACAGATGTGGAAGAACTTGGGGACTGGATGAAGTCTTGTCTGGAGAGTCACCCCATGTTTGAAGCCCTGACTGAGAAAGAACTTGAAGCAGACCCATGTGTGAAGCTGCTTAGTACTGCAACTGAGGAAGGCCAAAAGGTGGCTAGAAATGGAGGGCAGACCTTCCAAGCCGTATACAGGCGCATCGCGCTATCTGATCAGACACCCCAGACTTAGGCCCATTTTCTGCAATCAGCGTTTTCCATCTTTCATTTGCTATATTTTTTATCTGGCTGTACTATAGAGAGCAAATGTCTCATAGTGACGTCAAGATCGTTATTTATGCTGATATCTACTGAGATAAGGCATGTATTTGTAGGATCTTATGTTTGCACTTTCCCAGAAAAAACATACCGTTTTTTGACTTAAAGAGAAACGAAATAGAGATGCTGAAGTTATTATTCAATTTAATTGTAGCTTGATATGCGCACTCAGTGTATTGCACAAAACCTAAACAATGAATTGCACGGCTCATGGCAAGTAAACAATACAACCTAGGATTAGATTATACATGATCAATTATACATTGATATATTGATAAAGTAGCAAGATTCTTGTAAAATTTAATATTATTTTTTACCCTTAACATAAAACCTAGTTAACTAATTGGAAAAGATTTAAACAATTAAATATTTATCAGATTAGACCCAATCGGTGGATTAGAATCAATCTAACAAAGGGGATTATGGGTTTAAAAGTTAGAGCCATCTCACACATAGGGGGAAAAAATTGGAGCTTGTTTATTTTCTCATTTTGAAAACAATTTTTTTTTGAAAAGGAAAAAAACTTGTTTGATAATTTGTTTTTAGTTGATTGTTTTAAAAAACAAAAAAACAATAACATGTTTTCAACTTAAAAACAACTTTTACGTTTTTTTTTGTTTTTTATTTTTTAAAAATTTGGAGAAATCTTCTCTTATCATATACTATCTAGTATTTATCACTGTTTATAACTACCACTTGCCAAATATGATTTTTTTTTTCAAATGTGATTTTTTTAAAATTATTATCGAAACAATTTTTTTTTCCTTCCAAAAGTTGTTCTACGAAACAATTTTATAAAATTTTTTTGAGAATAAAAATCAAAATTATATGTTTCTTGTTTTTTTTCCCCTATTTTTTTTGTTCCTTTTTAACATCAAAAGATGTGAGCTGTATGTGTGCTTTTAACGTGCAAGCCGTGAAGATGAGCTCTCCCTGTCGCACACATTCTTTTATATGTGAGCCCGGTCGGTTGGCTTGGCGGTCCGATTGGCGATGGCAGCGAACGCGAGAGAAGCCCGAAGAAAGAAAATCTTGGAGCGCGGATCCGACCGATTAGCCCTTATAACGGGTCGGATCGAAAATCGTTCGCCTCCTCGTTCGGCTTCTTCCCACTCCCAACCAACCGATGCTTATGCGGATTCATCACCTGGGCCGTTCAGTGTAAACGATCAAGCTATTCCCCTCGTATTTTCCCATCCTAACACCAGCGGTACATTTCTTCTTTCTTCGAATTTCTTTTCGTAAGATACTTTCTTCTTTTTTTTTTCTGCAATTTCTTTTTAAGTCAGATATGATTGGATTGGCAATGTATTGGCTTATTCTGTGATCGGGTGTGTAATATTTTCTCTGTTTAATCCGACATGCACTGGTATTAGAAGTCCGATGTGGCAGTAAATCTATAGCTAGTTAAGTAGTGTTCTATCTGCTTGCGTACGTATGGCTGCATTTTACTTTGCTCGTGAGTCACTTGAATTTAAGTTTTGCTAATGTTGTATTTCTTCTTTTTCTGCGGATGGGTCCATACTTTGTGATACCTTTATTCTTAGTGGGGAAACATGGCAGGATGATGGAAAGGATTCAAATTGATAAATTCTCCTTGAGTGGGTTTCACAAAATTTGGTTTCTATAGATCATTCTGACTTTAATTTTTTTGTCACATGAGTTTGGTCAAATTGTTTGTGGATTAAGGTGCAATGGGTTATTTTGCAAGTGTTCATAGATTTTCAATGTGGATATTTCACTCATGCTTTGGAATCGTGAACTTAGACCAACGTTCAGGACTGGTTATCAATATATTATATAAAGATAAACGGCATAGAATTGTGCGGCTCACCACTGTCTGTGCAATGCCCATGAGCCTCGGGAAGTTCTAGGGCTTTGGCTCCTTAATTAGATTTTTCATTTTAAAACATCATGGAAGGGGTCAATTTTCTGCTTAATGCCCCTGCTTTCTGTTCTGGTGTCTCTTCTCAATCATTTGAGATTTGCATGCAGCCTGGAAGTACATTGAGTGGCAAGAAATGAATTCTAAAGTAAGCCTATAGGGTGTAACTGGGAGTTTTAATCCTGAGAGAGGAAAACTTGTGAAAAATCCTGAAGGCTATAGGGTCCATGTCCATATACAAGCTCCTAGAGCTCTTGCTTTGGGGACACAGAACCGGGGTATTGCTTCTCTTGTTTATGTTTCTCTTGTTTAGTGGGCCTACATGTATTACCTCTCCCAGGAGGAAAGCAACCATTTGATGTCTCTTCAGAGATCAGTGGCGTAGCTCAATTAAATTCTCCAGTAGCCTTTCTGGACAATGAGTGGAAAAAACTTAGCAATTTGCACATCTTTAAATTTTTGAGGGGGGAATGTAAAAGTTACATCGTAACTTTGCCTGGTGGGGAAATAAATGAGACATTAAATGATTGTGGGAAAAGTACTCATATAGTTGATCAGCTAGTTTCTTTGGTTTATTATCTTGTAACCAAGTGACTACTCATTAGACAGCTGGTTAGATCTGAGCTTGGGATAGTTAGGGGCATGGCGCAGCTAAAGCATTGTTGTAACCGTTAGTTAAAGCTTTATATGTCCCTCTATTGTAACCGGAAATGCATAACTTTCTTACTTTTACTGATCAGTTATCTTTATGTGCAGTTTCTCTTCAAGATGAGGCAGAGGGGTCTGATCCAATTTTATTAGAACCTGATCCTGTTATTGATCCAGACCACTCTGATGCTTGCACAAGCAGCAGCAAGACACCTCCTTGGCGTGAATTAGAGCATAATCAGATTTCAAATGTGCCTACATCTGAAGTTGAACAAGTGCAACTACCTCCAGGTTCATCAGTTGTTTCATCAGAAGTTGGTCAGGTACAACCGCCTCCAGATCCATCCAGTTTTATTGTAGGAGCTGAACGACAGTCATCAGTTCAGTCTCGGGACCCTAAACTTTTTAGAGAAATAAGTTCTGCCATTACTGCATCAAAGATTACCCGCCTTTGTTGTTCTGTTGTTGTAGCCCTGCTAGTAGTTTTCTCTTACCTAGGATTTCCCTTGCTAGATAACAAATATGTGAAGGGTATACTAAGCTTTAGGCCGCTCTACCTGGTTTTAGTGACAAATGTAACTGTTGTAGTTGCACAACTTCTTACTGGTAAACGAAGAGGTTCTGAAAGTGCTGCAGAAAGACCAAATAGAACTTCTTCTGACTCAGAGCACTGGACTGAACATCTTGGCAGGGCACTAGAAGCTGCCTTGGTGATGCGGAATGTGATGGATGCTATGCTCATGGACTGTGCTTCTTATGCAATTACTGTCATATGCGGCCTCTCCCTTGTGCAGTTGTTTAGCCAGTAATTTTTCTTTTCTTTTTTTTTCCAATTTACTCTGCCCCAAGATCTGTTTCCTTTTCCATCTGTTTGCCTGATCTTGTTATTTCTGTAATGTGTGGATTAGCCTTTACTGAAACATCACTGACTTTTTGTTCACCTATTGTCTGGGTTTCGCTTATATTGGTAATGTAATCTATATGTCTAAATACATAATTACATTAATTAATGTGGGGTATTGTGCTTTGCATAGAATTTGACTTGAGCTTAAAATGTATTATTCAAAACTCATGAATAGTTTTTTTTTTTTTTAAATAAATTTCATCTGATGTACATTGATATTAATGGGGAAGATTCAGAACATGATCAAATGTGTTTTATCCACAAATTGAGAAAAGTTGTACCGTGAATGGGATAGCATTTTTTTCAATATACAAGATGTCCATGGATGGTATGGTTTATCCTAGACTTTGCATTTGTAAAGGGCTCTCATCTAGTTACATTATAAAGCTTAAAGATTTCGAGCTCTCAATTGTGAACTTTAAAACTAAATGAAATTAAAGAGAATAAAGAAATTGATTAGTCCAAATATTTTGAGCGCTTAATTCTTTCCTATTTTTGTTAATTTGCCACCTAATCCATCCCGACTTGCTGTATTTGGAGTATTGTAGGTGGAAGTATTGTTGATAAAGTTATTAGAACATCATTAATTATATATACCATTCAAAAGGGGCGTTCGTTGTACTAATATCAAGTCGAATATATGCGCTTCCCTCCGATGCCCTTTTGCTGCTCTCAATATTGTATCCACTCTTTTAACACGCGCGCGCGCGCACTAACTATTTTAAATGCATACAGAGACGTAATAGAGAAAAGTATAATAAAAAAATCTAAATCTGGTAATTAGTGCCTCGTAGATCTATTTCCAAACAATGAATTAGAATCACACAAGTCAACGATGACGATGACGACGAAAACGAGGGATTTCTTCAAACAGTTAGCCCTTGAGCCTCTGCTTGAGCTGCTTCTATTTTTGTTCCATTTGTGGTTTTGGACGTTGAATAATGCAGCAAGAAGAGTGAAAGATCCTTCACAGTGGATATTGGAATTGCTTCATTGAAAGCCCCTTGATCTCAAAGGAACCTTTTACTGTTGTATCATCCTTGTAAGTGTTTTTATATAGAAATGCATCAACTACAGTCATGAAAAAGGAAATGAAGAATCTTGTTAGGACTCAATCATAAGATTAGGGATTTGCATACATCAGAAAGTAAAGAACCAGCCAAAAGAACGCAACAGAACTAAAAATACTCGGTTCCCTTTGAAAGACTATCTCGAAGATGGAGCAAAATACCTTTTATTTCTTTGCTTTCTTTAACATGGGAATGTTGGGTTTCCTTTTCAAAAAATAGAAAGAGTTCTATTACATTTTCAAGCAGGAATTAGCATGTAAATGGGGGAGGTGATATGTAGTTTTTGCCCAAATGAAATCTAATCTTTCTCACTCTGCATCAATGCCTGTAGTAAAATTGACGGCCCTGGTAAATGAAATGGATCCTCTAGAGTGTTTTCTCTTACAAAGCAAGTCTAACACCTCCAATAATAGTGAACTAACTCACCATAAGAAGTACATAGAAGATTCAGCATTTCTCGCATAACAAAATCCCTGATTTTACATCTAAAGACCTTTAAGAAATCTGTACTGTTTACAAGTTATGAATCCTATACCTCATACTCCATACAACATACGAGTTCATTATCTAGTTTTATGTCAAAAGACCTGCTAGTACTTTGAGTTTCACCAACAAATATAAGCTCTAAGCATCACTTAACGCATAATACTTGAATTATAGTCTCAATTATTATTATTAACCTCGTAACTATTACTACACAGCTCAGCTCATAATAGCAAACCCACTTTTCCTGTCAGGGCAATTTCAAGCTTCACTCCTAATCATCTAACATTAACATGAGTGACACTCTATAATGAACTTCATTCTCAGTCATAGTTTCTAAATATGGCTCATTACCTTGTGTTTCAAGTTATCTTGACACGGGTTTCTGCAACAAGGCAGTCAAGTAGACCTCTCCATTCTTCAAACCAGCAATATCCATCTTGTTTGCAGTCGCCCACTTCACTTTCTTGTACCCCAATTTTCCGATCAGGGGTCCGTACACCGCCTCAAGATCAACCCCTTTACTGAAAAAATGATCCACCCACAAATACCCACCAGCTCTCAGCACTCTGTCCACATCATACAGCAAAAATTCCATCATCGTCACCGGAATCCACCGGTTCACGGCTTGCCCGCACCGCACCACATCCATCGCGCCATCGAACACCGGCAGCCGCTGCTGCAACGGAACGTGCAGCGGCACCAACCCCCTCAGCGCCACGGCCTCACTGTAAGGCGCAGCCACATTCATGGTCGTCGTCAAAACCGTCACGTTATGCATCTTCATTCTCGCAGCGAAAGTCCCAGTTCCTCCTCCAACATCGAGTCCCAATCGAATCACAGACTTAGCGGCTCTCGCAATCTGTAAAAACTGAGGTATTGGGAGGTCAAGTTCAGACTTGTAGCTCACAAATTTGGTTACTTCACGAGACGCATCGAAACCCAGATTTGGATTCAGTCGATTGAAGCAGTCAAAGCTCTGACATGAGTACTTGTCCCATATAACATTGGAGCTGGGGAGAGAAGAAGAAAAGGGGTTATGTGGAAGTGAAGAAGTGGGTTTTTGTGGGGTCCGTGCAAAGCATCTCCGGCGAGGAAGTGGGTGGCAACCACGGAGCATGAGAGCCTCGGCGATATCAGAATCAGAAGGGCAAAGCGAGAACGGAGTGTAGCTCATGTACTTGTGAAGAAGCTCAGGGTAATCATGGCAAGAGGAAGCAATAGGAGAGAGACGAGAGTAGAGCAAGAGATCTGAAGGAATGCTGTGGTTTTTATTCGTAGTAGCAGAAGTAGTTGGAACAGTGTCAGTGTCGGCAGAAGTTTGCTGGAGGCGCGTGAGTCGGTTGATGGTGCCGCGTATGGAGTGGAGTTGGCGGAGGAGGTGGTCGGGGACGGGTTGAGGAGGAGGGTTGGAGGGAAAGATGATGGTGGAGGAGAGATGATAGAGGGAGATAATGTTGGAGGCAACCATGGCGACGAGAAGGAGGAGGTTGAGGTTCATACTGAAACTGAAAGCCATTGTCGTCTTCCCTACCAGTTCGAATGAATTCTGAGGCTTAAAAGGATTTTTTTTTTTTTTAATGGTTACTTAGTGAAAGCTACAAACTTTGTTCAAAAGGGGTTTCATTAATTGAAATAAGAAAAGGAATTGAATGATTTTGAGAAGATGCAGTGTGGAAGAACGATCATGAAAGAGAATCACAAGAGGAAAGCGGGCAGAGGTGGGGCCTTTGAACTCAGATGTCGGCGACACTCCCCCACTCACAAACTGAACTTCAAACTGAACTTTCGGATTTTTATATATGTAAATGCTCTGACCCGGATCATTTTTCTATGTGTTAATTTCTTCATTAAATATTTTATATATTTTTCCTAAAATAATTAGGCACATTTTTCTAGATGATAAAATCAACTTTCACTGGCAAGTGGTAACTAATTCGTTATAAGCTAATACAAATATTTTCTTGATAAATTATTAGTTAGAGAGAGAGAGAGAGATGAATGTGCTTACTAAATTTGAATGAAACTAGGGAAGCACAAATCTGGGAAAGGACCTCCATTTGAAAATCTTAAAGTTCGAAATATGATTGATACCATAATATACTACTGTTGATCCTAATTATAAGAGTTAATTTACTAGCTTTTACAATTACAACTGGAGTTAGCATCGGTCTTCAAATTACTTAAGCAACCCTTACATTGAAGAATAGAAAAATAATAATAAGGACAAAGAGAAGGAATTTATCAAGGAAAAAGCATCATATATCCATATTCAAGTTCTCCTTCTTTTTCCTTCTGCAGGAAAGTGCTGTTGAGAAGTTTTTGCTTATGACAAACAATTCTACTATGCTCAACTACTCCTTTGTAAGAATAAACACTACTAGAACAGTGCAGCAAAATAATTATCGAAGATAGGTTACTCAGAGTGGGTTCTATCACCAAAAAAGGAAAAAAAAAAAAAAGTATTGTGGGTTCCTCTTCTTCTCCATGACGATGAACAGAGCTGGCACACCATATTCCTGCTTTATTTTAAATTTTCCTTAATTGAGACTATCTTTTAGCTAGTTTGGTTATCAATTTTTTTGAGGAAAGGCTCGTGTGTATATATTTTTAAAGAGCTTCACTATCTTTGCAAGTAGATATATTGTTATTAATTTACAACCAGGACCAAATGACAGTGAGATAGGGTTGCAAGTTTTGACATTCATTTATTACCTTTGGTTTTGGTCAAAAAAAAAAAAATTTATTACCTTTGGTGGGGGATTAATAATTCCTTTATGCAGAGCAAGATTCATTTTCCTCCAAACGAAATGTAGCATGATGATGACGATGATGCTTTTTATCAAATAATTTTTTGCAAAAGAAGGAGAATTTATAGAATCCATCTGATAATGCATTTTCTATAATTTGAGAAAAAATGAAAGGAAAGAACTCCAAATCAGATAGCTCTTGTACATGAAAAGAAACAAAAAGAAACAATCACTCTATCTTGACAACCAACATATGAAACATCAGTGCTCATTTGTTCAGTGCATTGAAGACCCAAAAAGCGAAAAAAAAGAAAGTAGAACACTAATAAAAAATAAAGCAAAAACAAATGATGTTTTCGTAAGAACACAAAAAATGGATATATTAACGAAGAATGAGAATATCACCTTTTTTTTTCTTATTAAAACATAAATATCCTCCTATTAGAGATAATCCTAAATAGAAATACCTCTTATCTCTTCCAGCAGGAATTCAAATCTTAATTTGACAAATAGCCCCTAGTTCTTATCTCAACACGAGTAACTTCTTTTCAACTCATTTTCAAAATGTCAACAATACCTCAATATATTAATAGATTTAATAAAATCTATAAAAGGCTCCCCCGTTCATAAATAACAGATATAACTTAATCTTGAAACTTGAACAAAATTTGAATTCGCAAGGGTTAAACCCAGAATCCCTTTCGCAATTCGTTGAGTTGAATCGGACATCCAAGGATTTGATGGCGGCAAACTGAGGATCCCTCGTATGATAAAATAGTAAACTTCTGTTTATAATATGAGCCTTTCAATGGGTTTAAAACCTAACTACAGCGTCATGAGACAACACATAAAATTCAACAGAAAAAGACATCAGTATAGTGCATTTTTCTTTTCCTTCTGCAACAGCACAGTGAATGAAAATAGTACCTCAAGGAATAATATAGCCAATGACATGAATTAGGTACGAGAACAATTTTCTAGTTCTGCAGAGGATTGGGAAGAAAAAAAAAATTAAAATGAGAGTATCAACAAAGATATTCCAGATCTGGAAATTTTGGAAAATGAGACAGCATTGTATTCTCTTCACACAATCCTCTCCAACTCCCTAGCATAACTGAGCGTCTGGTTGATAAGCTGCAGCGATGGTATTTCTTTGCAAGGCGCTGATTCTTTGGCCTTATGGAAATACACAGCCCCATTAAGAACCTCCCACTCAGGATGCTCCTGCGATTATGGAAGAACGTTACAACACAAAAGAATGAAATTGAAATGTACAATGATGAGATGGAGTTTTTCCTATTTTTCTTGTATATGTGATACCGCAAGGTTAAATTATTTCGTTAGGCTTTACAGTTTGCTCAAATTTCAATTCAATTTGCACGGTGTGAAATTTCTTCATCAAGTCAGAACAGCAGCTTGGTTTATTCACCAGAAACCTAGTTCCCACAACATCAATCCTTTCCAGATGATCCAAGGCAGAACATGCCATATCAAAAACAGAATCCACATGAAGTGCAGAAGATACAATGATGCTCACCTCGTTTATATATTTAACGAGTTCTTGATCAGAAGAAAACAATAACATTTGTCGAGCATCTTTTAGTGAAAGATAGTCATATGCCTTCTCACTGCATCCTGCTATTTCATCTCTGGGAGTTGCAAAATAGATACCTTGTTACAAATCATAATAGATAAGCTGATATGGCATGTCAAAAGACAGCCAACACGTGAAATACCATTTGAAGAGTATGGAGAAAGTAAATATTCCACCAAGCGCCCAGAATGATAATCCTGCATTCCCAACTCAACCCAATGGCTTATCATTGCATTTGCTTTCTCTCAATAGTCCACTAAAATTAGTTAGAAAAGCCCCAGTTTTGAATAAAACAAATCTAGCCAGAATGCCTGTTTCTAGATGTCCATCATATTTATTTCATCAGCTAAGCTATCAGCAGAAACAGGAGAACTATGTTACCTGACTGTCTTTGCCAGAAGATCCATGAAATAAACATATGTATCATGTGGCACTGTCTGTCGGGCACTCAGGACACGATTGTAGGCACCTTCCATGAAGGATTGCTCCAACTCCACAGCATGCTTGATGCAGGGATTTTCAAGAGCAGTGGATGAAAGCAGTTCCAACTCTGTATGAAATTCAGCAATCCTATTCTGCACAAGTAGTCTCAACAGGTTGAGGCCTAATATAGGGTACTCCTGAGGGGATGGAGGAATACGGTTTCTGCACCATAAAAACCCTGAGACTCTTTAGAATATATTGAGAGGTAGACAAAAAGAAGAGACATACCAAAAAGCAGATACAAGTGGGGAATCACATGTAATGTGGACTAGGTCTATGACAAAAATATATCATAAAAAATGCAATGCATAAAAATAGACAAAGGAGTTGTCCTAGACGTATTTAAATAACTGAAAGATTACTGCAAACAGACATGCATCTCCGTTCTAATACTACTTCTCTCCTGTTTCTTGACATGCAAAGTCCATGAAAACTAAGTGATAAAACAATGCCCCTCATATGTGTAGCAGGTTCAACTGTCATAGTGGCAACAGAAATTTATAAAGAGGGGAAAAGGGGAAGAACAAGTTACCGAGCATCTGTGTAATAGGGTTTTAACTGGAAGAAATCCCTCTCAAAGGCTTCCTGATCCTCCATCTTGACACTAAGGACAACGGCATGCTCATATATATCCCCTGGAAGTTTCAAATACTAATGAGAAATAGAACAATGCCTCATCAATAAGAATTCTAGCAGGTACATACTGATAAGATTCACAGACACAAGGAAAATAGAAAAACAAACATTTATAGTCTCTTCTCCGTCTTTAATAGCTATATTCATTTATATTTTCCTTCTGAAGCCAAGTTAATGATCTCTAAGGTAATTTTACCACAACAAGCTGTGATGATGTTCACAGCAAGATTGTCTTCCTAAACCATGGGATCAACTAGAAAGAATAGAAAAGGGTAGTAATGAAGCCATGGGTGCATCCAAAAGGTTCGGCTTTTGACCAAGAAAGCTGATGGCTAAGCTATTATTATGAGGTAATCATTGACAATATCAATCCATACTCACTCAACTCACCTCCAAATTTAAGATCTACTCATATTATTAGTCAAGTAAAGAGAATACAAATCTATTTGTAAAAATAATAGGCTTAGAAAAGTTTATTGGTACAAAAGAAGAATAGGAGAAAAACCAGATTGGGGTCAAGATTATCTACTTGCTATTGTCAATTCATGGACAGCATTAGATGTCTCTTCAAACAAAGGTGGAAGGCTTCTGAACTCTGTTAGTAACACCTGCAAAATAAGAATAAGTCATTTTCTACAGGGATTGGAAAAAAATCCAATTGAAATGCATAGCAAACCAGATCTGAGAAACTCAAGACCTTGCAGAGAAGTGTCTGTGTGTGTATATCACCGACTCCCAAAACCTACGACTTCCTCCTTCGTGCATTGTTTATATAAACACGTTAATTTCGAAGCAAAGCTGCCCACTGCATTAGTTGCCTAGACCAAAAGTTTACGAACCAATCACCCAACTTGCTGCTGGGTCATCAAACCCTTGGCACGCCAAAATGTTTACTAAAACATACTTGGGGAAGGTTCAACTGCCATTCAGCAGGCAGGATATGTTGTCCTAGCATAACTATATATCCTAAGTAACCACTCCCACGGCTTCAATATTTCAATATGATTGGTTTCTTAACATAATTAGCCCATGCAGAAACAATCGAGCCATAAAAGTGCAAAATTGCATACATATATTCCATCCAAGATCGATGTTGAGTGGCCTCCACCACTTCATTAAACAAATAGTATTTCCACGAAATCATTCGATGCCAAATCTGCTAAAGCGTTATCTCTTCTTTTTAAAACCAACCAACTAAATAGATTTTCCAAAACCCAATGACGGCCATGAAAGTTTACGTATTGAC